TATTTATACAAAAAGTTCACTTTTCAAGAGAAAGACTTTTGGACTGATTAACATGAAGTTTTATAACTTTAGGAATCTTCATGCTTGGGAACAAAGAAGATGCTTACCAAAATCTCTAGGCTATTTACATGAAATTTTCGCTTTTGGTAATGACTCAGTGTAAAATCGTATGCCTGATGAAGTCAATAGTGAAACTTTCATTGACTTCAATAAGGATAACATTTCAGCTCTGGTAAAATGGTAGCACTGAACTCCCCTGGATGGGCTTCTTGTTACTTGACAAACTTATCTGCAGTCCAACCACTTCATATGGAAAAAATTTTTAACTTCTTTGTCATTATCATTGTAATTACAAATACCAGGCAGAAGAGCACTTTCTAGGAATGTTTGTAAATCTGAACCAATACTTTTAACTAGTTCATTACTTTCTACAAAATGTATTATTTCACAAGCCTTTCACCTCTTGAAATATAATCCAAAATGCCTTGGAGGCATAAAAGCTGTGCTTTAAGAGCTTCTGGGATATGGAAAAAAATTTAATTAAAAGCATAAAGGCCAACTTAATCCTTTGGTGCTGAGAACCAGGATTATCCAACTGCTTTCTTTCTTGCAAATCACTGTGCTTTATTCAAACTATGCTGGAGAAAATTCTTAATTCTGGCACTGTGATAGGTGACTTGTCACAGGAGTTAACCTGTTTCAACAGCATTAGAAAATCAGCAGCAAAATGCATAAATGATAAATGCATAAATGATAAATGCATAAATGCATAAATGATAAATTCCTTTTCAGGAGCTTCAAATGTAACATAAGCAGACAGCTGTGAACAATTTCAGATCTGCTGTCTTTTATGGAAAGTACAAAGTGGAGTTTGGGCAGTTTAGGCGACAAAAGGCTCTCCAAAGTTTGTTTGATAAATTCCACCTATTTTTGGTACATGGAAAAAATATTACTACAATTTCCTAACTGATAAAATTTATATTTTCTAGAATTATTCACCCTTTTAAATCTATTTCACCATTTTACTCTCTACTATCATACGCCCTATTCCATTTTTCACTCTTTTTATCTAAAAAAAAAAATTGTTTTTAATTACTGAAAGACTAGGTACTGAAAACAATAACTGACCTTACAAGAATACTACAACTTTCAAAAGATATTTCACTCAAGAAGGATATCACTTGAATTTTATAGAGCTTAATATAAACACAGTAAAAGTTTGCAAAGTTTTTCATTCAAGTAAAGATGAGGAACCAAACTGACTTAAGATAATGCTGAGAAGAGGAAGAACAATCTGGAGCCATAAAATACAAGCAGATAAGGAAAATAAGATAACTGTGAAATTCAAGCATTTTTGCCTAAGACATATGGCAAGGTTAAATAAAATAACAAGGAAATAGATCCAAAGTACCATCCACTCATAAAGGTTTCAAAAGGCAAGTCCAAATTCAGTTTGCCATTACAAATCAAAAAGAACACAGGCGATACGATGATGACTTGATTACTGATATCCCTTATGCTCCCTGTTGCTTATAAACAATTCTGGCCAGACCACTGTGGCATATATCTTTGTGCACGTATATGATTTCAAGTGTGATTGAATGAAATTTGTAAGAGAGCGAGCTTGAGTGGGTAAATTCAGCTCACTTAGAGATTTTGTAAATATCTGTCACTTTTCTTTACCAAACGATCTTGCACTGAGTCATATTAGAAGATATTTCGTACTTCCATGTTATGCCTAGTAGAAAGTACTTAAGACCATATATGTTATCATGAATATACGTTTAGTGCTGTTCCTACTTCTGACAGCAATAGCAAAATCATTTCAGATTAAAGTGATTTCTGCATTGCATGTTAAAGGCAGTTTGCATTTCACAATTGTGTCTGAGCCCACAAAATACACCTAGTATTCTCCCTCAAATAGCTCATTTAATTGGATTTTTTTTTTTTTTGTTATAGTTCTACAGATGTCTTTCTTGATATGCTGTCATTCTAGCTATGTTTCATGAAAATCAAACATATTAGATACTTCTCTTTAGAGTGATACAGGTTGCCAGCGACTTAATTCTAACACAAATTAATTCCAAATGAATCTGTCTATTTCAATTTTTTTTCTAAAAGCATCTGTCCAAAATAGTCTTTTTTTCTATATGCATATGCACAGTCCTTCTCCACCAGCTTAGCCCTTTGTGGTCATTCACTTCCAGTTAAAACAATTTTTTTCTCAAGAATTCCCAGCAAGTGCAACTGCTTTGAAATACTTCTGAACTTTCGTAAGAACCCTAGCAACAACAGATGCTGAGGGAAAATATTTAAATCATGTTACAGACAAACTATTCTGGTCACTTTAGTCACCGTCAAGAGAAGGAAACCAACGCCAAGCTGAACCTAATCTTGAGCCTTCTTATAAACAGCTCATATGTAAAATGATAAAGTAAGGTAATCAAACAACAAAATGTGAAATTCAAGCTCTAACACCTTGTCTTCAGTTTGTAGGAAAATAACTCAAGACTTTTTGCAAATTTATGACAATTTCCAGGTCCATATTGTCGCATGTTGACTGATAGCTGACTTCAGTGATATCAGCTGCACATCTGCAAACTTTTAATCCTCACAGCAGAGAAGCTGAACAGAATTTGCATTAGAAGTCCAACTTCTCTGTGTAAGGAAAAGTAAGGCTTCAAGAACCAGAAATCCTAATAAATACTGGTGTTTATTTCACACTGTACCTCTGTTTCTGCTGCATGGGCTGTTGTCTCATAGCCATATATTGCATGTCCTCTTGTAGTCGATTAAGAGGAGAGTCTGGCTTGACACGAATCCCATAGTAATGATATTTGGAATTCCCCCTTTATGAAAAAACAAGAGGAAAATAAAGAACAACAACATTAGTTTTATGCAGATTCATCACATTTACTTTACAGTTTACCTTGACTGTAAAACAACACTCCAAAATTAGGTCTAGCCCCCATTTCACACCTGTTGTAATTCTACCAGCTTCGGGAGAATAGTTCACTCCCTTGAACAAATATTTCCCAGCATCTTACAATTGAAAGCCACTTGAGTAAGAAAAATAAAATACACATAAATACAACTTCTATAGTTATGGGGAAAACACAATTCTTACAATTTCCAAACAGCAAGCTGTACTTTATAAGCACCTGCAGTGTATATATCAACATTTAAACACACAAATACAGAAGATCAGGAAAAATAAAAATATAATAACTTATGGGAAAACATAAGTGTTTGACATTAATGCACATAATTGACAGAAAAATAACTGTACTATTTAAATACTACTTTTATTTGTTTACAGAATAGCATACAAGTTTCATGTTCACAGTTATTACTCTTATTTTCTATTATAATTTGGGATTTCATTAACACAAACCTAGTTCCAAGTCTTCTGGTCCGTAATCCCATGAAGATTGACCGTATAAGTTTTCCAAAGGAGGCAGCATTGACTGGATCCAACTTGTGCTCCTGACAGTGTCGTAAGTAATGGTTGTAAAGGGTACTTCTTGGGAGACTCACTCCTTCTGCCGTTTCATAGTTGTCTAAAAGCCATTGGAGCTATACCAAATATAAAATAGCAACAAAAGTAAATTCAGTGTTACTTTATTAAAAAAATCTTAAACATACAATATTAACTTACACCATTTTTGAAACTACTCTTCAGGTCTGTTTAACAATGACTTTGTTCTTCAAACAAAAAGAGATTCTTTCAATACTAGCCACAAGACAGTATTCTGGGATCTTCAAAATTCATAGGAAATAATAGAACTCATTGCACTTGTGACCTCAGGTTAAATGAACATTTCTTAAAGTATTTTTAATTCGGTACGACAAACTAACACTTGATAAAGTTATGTATACTTTGGAGACAAAAGAAAGCTGTAAAGAAATAAAATAATCATGAACGTCATTCATATAAATTGAAAAAACCAAGTTCTTTGGATTAGCAATAGTTACTTAACGCATTTGTAAACCTGGAATATTACACTCTTTATCACATGCTAAAAAACATTATAGCATTTAAGTGAATAGGATTTTTTATTCCCAAATACAAAAAGGAAGAAACTCTTGTACGTAAACCAAAGAGAACTAGATAATATTGAAAATAACTGGTACATATATGAACTATTATGGGTGCAACCCCTTTCAACTGTAGCCTATTTGACTTTCAGGAGGAGCACAAGGAGATTCTTGGACAAGTTATTAATCTTTTCATGTAATTATGATAGCTAATTTTGCAAATATGCAAGGAAATACTTCATGCAACGTCACTGGACCTTACAGGTAGTGTACACACATGAAACATATAACTGTTACTTATATATACAAAAAGTAAAAAGGACACTTCAGTAATGCCAGCTTTAACACAACAGGAGAATGACAGAATAAACCAGAAGTAGTTTAGGTTGAAGCCATATTTAAATTCAGTTGTTTTTTGGCATGCTAACTTTTTCCTTAGCTTTCTCCAGTACTCACAATAGTTTTGATTCTCTGGATTTCTCCTTTAATTTCAGCTTGAATGATCTACACATTTTTTTTTCTGTTTGAATTTTTTGCCAATTATCCTCAGTATTTACTTCAAAATAATACATGAATATTTAAGTGCTCTAGGCTGAGTTCTTACCAAAAGTCTGCATTTAGTTTGAGCATGTAGTGAAAACCCAAGCCAAAGACATTGCGTCTTCAAGCTTTGCAATAAAATTTTATTCTGATGAGCTAGATACTCACAGAAATATATAATAACTTTCAATTTAGTCTAGTAAAGCGGTAACCAATCGGACTAAAATATGAACTATCAAGCTACACTAAAAGATAAACAAAGTCTATGTGTTATTTAGTACTTTAGTCTGGAGGATTATTTCCTAGCAGCGTACTACACAAATTCTGTTCCATCAAAGCTAAGTGTAATTTGTCATCTAAAGAACATGTATATCAATATTTTAGTGTGATTATTCATAAAATATGTTTCAGTTCTAGCCTTTTCATTAGTGCAAAACTATTACATACTAAAATATAGTTTATAACAAATACGTTGGACTTAAAGATCTGTTTTAATCACAATATGCCATTTACCAATATTAACGCAAAAATATTGATAGAAATTTACTCTAGGCTTTTCAAATACTGTTTCCATTCCTTATTTTTACAGAAATCATGCGCATTACTCTTTCTTTGTTTCTACACATAAGAGCTAGACAAATATACAGAAGTAAGATCTAAATGCTTCCAATATGGAAAATTTAAGCTCAGTTCATAGGTAATTTTACATTTCAGATAGACAAAATGAAGAAGTGCGGTTCATTAGATTTGTTTAAGATATAATATCATTACTTTAAAAGCCTTAACATTCATAAATATTTTTCAAATTGAGCATTTCTCATTTGGAAATAAAGCTGAAGAAAAAAATAAATAAATAAATATTAACCTTTCCCTGACTGTATTTCACTAATGACCAAACACATGCATCTCTGAGCTTAGAAACAAAGGTACTTATATCTTTCAACTATTGCATTTTATCTCTACTAAACAGAACAGATAAGTAATATGCAATATTCCTATTTTTCCCTAAAGGGAAAAAATTGATTGAAAAATAAAAACAATTATTTCCCAATTAACTTCTATATGTAGGATTAAAGATGTTTTCTTCAGATGGTTTATAACCTTTTAGAATTCACTTTAAGTGCACTTTATTAATGATTTGAATTTCTAACAGATGTTATTTTAACCATAACTTGCAAAACTGAAGTTAAGCAAAAAACAGGGAATTTTGCTCGAGGGTGAAGTTAGTTCAGCAGCAAAGTCTTTAAGTCATTGCTTGCTAGCTTACAGCCTGGAAGGAAGAGTGCAGTTAATACAGAATTTTAAAAGGAAAATGATCTGCAAATATTATAAATCTAATCTAAACAACCTTTAAAAAACATATTTTACCCAAGAAGAAATATAGTTCTAAAACTGAGCTGTTCAGGTTTGAATCTTGTTGACTTATAATATTAACCAGATTTAAAGATGATAAGCACGAAAAGTTTACAGACTCAGACCTCCTAAAGTGACCCTGACTCCAATAAAGCTGCAATATTTATAAAACATGAGATTATTAATTAATTAAATAAGTCAGTTTCATGCAGAAAGAAATCAGTAAAGCAAAGAAAATAGAAGAGAAATGACAAATTCCTTAAAATGCACAGACTTGAACTTAGGCAACACAATTCCAGAAAATCTAATAGAGTTATAATAATGTAGAAATCGCAAGTGTTAGGCTAATAATATTTGAATGGACTAGAGATTTTCCTAAAAATTCGTATCTCTTTTGCAAAGTAAAATATAATAGTAATTAAACACACAAGAGTACTATTTTAAAAGCTATTTTACCCAATTGTTTTCATGAATGTCAAATCAGATCACAAGAAAACAAAATTAAGAGCAACTCAGAGAGGGACTTCCTCCATACTGTTCTTACTTAAGGCAGAAGTCAAAAAATATCGCTTTAAAAATAGGCAAAACATCCAGTAAGTTTGATCCAGCTTGTATTAACTTATTCTAAAAGAAGAAAGGCTAAGAAAGACTGATTTCCCCCAAAAAGATACATAGGACTTTTTTTTTTTTTCATAAAATTAAAGATAAATCCCTGTCTGAGTAATTTTGAAAAACCCTTCAAAACAATCAAGAAAGAAATATCATGATAAGACTAGCGTAACAGGCAGATGCAAATCTCACTATTAGGAACACATTTTAAAGAGCGCATAACACGGAGAATGAAAGGAATATAGATTTCTCGGATAGAAGAGCTTATTTTATAATTTGCATTGGCTTTATTAGCAAATTTTTGGACTTTATAGCATGATTAAGCACAGACTTATTAACACTTCAAGTGTCTCAATTCAGATTTCAAAAGTCTCAATTCAGATTTCTGACTCCTTGTCAAAAGAGTTATGGTTCCTTTAACCATGACATTTAAATATTTTTTGATATTATTATGCTGTTTTATCATTAAAAGAATTATTTTGTATATATCAAAGGTGGGTTCTAGAAGTCTTTCTGTACGCTTTGTATAATTTGACTTCCCTCTTCCAACTTCAGCCTTTTCTAAAAGCATATTTCTTATATCCAGTAAATGTTACTGGCTCCTGCTGTCTTTGTCTATCACAATGTAAAATTTCCACAAAAAAATTCTAGCTTTAAACTCCTGATTACTATACTCCTACAAGAACAAAGAAATCAAAACCCATACCAAAAACTTGCTTATTTGATTTCCGAGTGACAGCCTCCATCGCCATACTGTTATATTAATACAACAGATCAAATTTAAATTTCTATTGCAAAATACAGAAATTTGAAAATATATATATTAGTTAGCAAAGCTGAGAAGATAAAAGGAGGCAATATGAAAACAAACTAAACAAGTTAAAAATACAATGCTAGTTACACTAACAGAAGTAAATACATTTCAAGGAAGACTAGCAAACTATATAAAATTATTATTTATGTAACAAATTTAAAATTAACTTTTGGGCTTTGTCTTTTGCCTCAAAGCTACATTCAATGGTTTTATCACTATATTTGGAAATCATCTTTTTACATGAATATCTTCTACCTTCTTATATGGAAAATTTTTAAGTGGAGGATTTGCAAAATAAGAATAAAGCAGAAGGCAATTGAATAAGACATATATGCACAACCCACACTATCTGTTAGACTGTTTTCATTTTTCTTCCAGGTCATCACAATGATCGTCAGCATTCTTAAGTAACTTCATAATAAACTCTCTATTCAGAATAAATGAAGAAATGCCAAAAAATAACCTAAAGATATGACTTGCTCTAGCTGTTTGACTCTTCTTCCCCTTCACATGCCCCTAAATTAGTCTGGGTACACTGACTCTTCCTTGTAGACAACTTTATTTAAAATGTCAAACCCTTGATAATTAAGAATTATTTGAACATTATTTTGACATTTCCATTATAATCTGCAAAGCAGAAAAATGCGTTGACTTTTGTTAACACAGGTACAGAACCTAAGCAACAGACACGCTCCGCAATATAAGGACATTTAACCTTATAAAATAAAGCCATGGGAGACGTAGTATAAGATTACAAGCAATTTAGACAAGAAGAGTAAGAGCAAAAAGTAGTATTAAAATAAAACAAACATTAGAGGCAGGCTAAGCATGCAGAACAAGCAAGAGATAGTGTACGTGAAGAAGAGACAACTTACATGGCTGTTGAGAAGAGAGCTTCTGTGAGTGGACAGACCATCAGACTTTTGCAGTGTCTCAATCGCCATTTCAATCTGATAATAGATGTCATTAAAAAAAGGACTCAAGACAAGATAGTAAAAAAGGCTGATCAGAGAAATGTTGACAGATCGCTTAAAGATCAACAGAAATGTCTACTTTATTCATGGCTAGGGGATATAGGGGACTAGAAGGTCTCATTCCAAAGTCCTAATAAAGGCACACCTTCCCAATGAGGCCAGGAAGGTATTTTGCTTGCATATGAACTGCAAGATCACACCCTCAATCTACTACACCCTTCTCTTTGCTCAGGAAATTAAAACAGTAGATGCACTGAAACATAAAAAAAAAAGTAACTGAGTAAAATTATCATTAATAAAAGAAAAAGAATCCCTAAATGCAACTCTAAAGCCTCCATACACTTTTCCTCCAGTAGTATCAGAAAGACCTGGGCACAGCTCAAAATCAGAAAGGAATTAGAAACAAAATTTCTGTTCTTTGCAATCACAGAATGAAATCCCAGTCTCAAATAATTCTGCAGGTTTTCTGCTATTCACTTCAATGGGACAAGATACCACTGGCTGAGCACTCTTTGAATATACCCAGCTCTTAAACTAAATGGAAGTTCAGAATTGCACAGACAGCAGAATCCAGCCTTTAAGAAAAACAATTCAGATTTGTTCACAAAAATTTCGTCTTGTAAAAGGAAATGAACAATACCAACAATTATATATACAGTAGTATCACTCCCAATTAAGTGCATAAAGAGAACACACCCACACCCATTCTTTTCTCTCTGAATATTATTGCATCTTTTGATCAGTTCCATGATGACAGTGTTAAAAAACAGAATTAAAACCTAACTGCATTTTAACTGGGGAGCTAGACTAGCAAAAGTAACATTGAAAATGATAGAGAAAAGGTGATGCGCGGTAAAAAAAAAGGCATATAATAAATTAGCTACATGGTAAAATGGTAAAAACAAAGGCAATGGAAAAAGCCAACTGGACTTTTAGAATAACTTATCACTCTCCCTGTAGACAGTCTTTAATGAACTCTCCATACCCTACTTTAAATATCCCAGTATTATCCAAAGATTTTAGTAGCATAATTTATCAGTATGAGCTGAATTCATTCTATATACAGCAGAAATTGAAAAATACTTCAGTTTATATTTGAATTTACTGCACATATAAAATTAGCTTCTATATTTTTACAAGGAAACTTATCAGTATTTTTATTGTCACAACTGTCAGAAAAGAGGAATTATTTCTCATTTCTTTCATAAAGTTGTTTAATATTAGCTATGCAACCCTTTTTATAAAAAATACATTATTTAAAATATATTATTACTGTGTAAGAAAACCTGCACTGATATGGCAAAAATAAATACTTTTAATATCCTAATTTCTTCTTGCTTCTGAAGAAAATGCAATACAGTATTCTATTATACAGAAAAGACTAAATTCTAAAATCATGCACTATGATAAATATTACATAAATTAAAATTAAAAACTTAAATTAAAATTACAAAAAATAAAAATTTTATTAGAGTAAGATCAATTTACTATATAGTGGAGCCATCTTTAACATGATACTACAATCGAACAACAAAGAATGTAAGCACATTTCAATTCTAATTTTGAATCTTAGTTGCTGCTTGACAATACTTTGTTTATAGCAGTACAACAAGGCTAAAGTTACACCTCCTGTTGCTCATTCCTTGCACTACTCTCATTTTGCTGCAATAACTTATTGCAGCCTTGTTCACAGAACCAATCCATTAAAAACAGTAATATTTTGACTCAGATGAAATGCATTCCTTGCTGCTACGGTCCTTCAATGCCTTATGGTGTTATGCTACAGGCCAAATTAGGAAAGTTTCTTTTTTTTTGTTTAGGATATTTTTGTTGGTGTTTTTTTAAAGTACATTTTGCCAGTATTGCCACTGAAGACAATGAACCTGTGCCCTCAAATCCCTAGGTATTATAACAAGTTGTTTTAAGATTTTAAAAACATTATGCTTATCTAGTCTGCTTTTCCTTGTAACATAGATCAAGTAGTGCTCATTGCCCCTAAAATAAGTTAATTACTTTATCAAGCCTAGAAAGTTTTGCTGAATTAGAAAGGCACTGTTATAGACATATCTGACCTATACTTAAAACGATCTTTTTCCATAGTATAGGGCAAGCATTTGAATAAAAATTATTTTCACTGTTATTTTAATCATTATGTCTAGTCTAAATTTTGATAGGGTGAACTTTCAGCTTTAGCTGACAGACAAGTGAAAAACCTTCTTCCTGGCAGGATCATAAATTCATTTATCAGCTATCTTGGAGCATAAATAAACAAGCTCAACTTGAAGGCAGATTTTCCAGATAATGAATCATTCATCTAGCCCCATTCATCCCTGCCCTTCCAGCTACTTTTTCATTTTCTCTCATCCCAAAGTACTTCATTTTTAACATCTCAAGCTTTCCGTAGATTTGAGTCCTCAGGTTTTCAAGACGGTTTACACGAAATGAGTTACAGTATATATGGGAAGTACCAGCTACTTGAATTGAAAGATGTTTATGTGAAAAACTGTTCCTCCAAACTTTTCAGCTCAAAGTTAGCGACAGGAACTTTCACTTACATTCTGGAAAAAAAGAGCACGAACTTAAGTCCACCTCTATTCAGAACAGCCTTTAAGCACATTAATTACATAGGTATGAAATGAGTAAATTACAGCCTTGAAATTTTGTGCAAAAGACATGAAAATAATTTTAATATTTGAAATCATGTACTGCACAAATACAAAGCTAAAACTGATATTCCCTACATCTGCGAACAAGTAGTGAGAGATTACAGACTAACAACTAACGATATTTACATCTGAAATGCCAAAGGAGAAAAAAATTACACATTCATTCATTTGACTGTATGATCAGTCACACATTTCTTCCATTCTTTTAAAATACATAATTAATACAGAAGAACATTATTTATTAAAGTGTTCTCACTGATATCTGAAATGTACATTATCAATGTGTGACAGTACATTGTCACTCCAACCTCAACTAAACCATGTTAAAAACTGCACTACTAATAGGATGATAATCAGTGCACATAGTAATATAAACACAAAACAGACTAAATTAGAGCATGACAGCTATGGGAACTGTGATTTTAGACTTCTCTCTCAGTTTACTTGGTTAGCCAGCTAAAGTACTAATTTATATCCTGTTATAGTTAATGATTAAGCATACTTCTCTGGGGTTAATGAATTTAACATTCTGATCACTGTATATGCTACTAGAATCCTACAAAATTCAGTCTTTATGTGATCTATAGATTTGGAAGTTATTAACTGCTGCTATAGTTTATGTTTACTGTTCACTAACATGTTACCAGATAAACATACTATAGATTCTCAGATGTCTGTAGCATAGATGTAGCAAAAAACAGTCCTAAGCTCATTTTGAAAAACTGCTTTCCTAAGAAGCAAAAGAAATACTACTTTCTTCATGATTCAATTAATTAACATCAAATATTTATATTAAGATGTTCCAAGGAGGTCAGGCCATAAGAAAAGAAATCCTCTGAAGTTTTATCTCTGACCTTTCATGATTAATCTGGATATACTACCATTTATTTTCTTCATCTGTTACATCTGAAAACCACTATCCACCAGCAGTAAAACAGGCAGTTTTAAGTGGTATCTTAAAACTCAGTTCATCTGTTGCATCGTGTTCAAAAAGACGTATTCCTGTCTCTGTCTCCACAGGTACCTACCGTTCACAATGCCTTTAATTCCTGTTGAAAGGTTTGCCCTTTTTAGACTTTAAACCAAGTGAAACTCTAAAGGAACTTTAATCACATGCTCCATTAGAAGGAATTAGTAACTCATCATATGTGCACTAGAAAGATTAATTCAGTACAGCCTGTGACAACTGCGTTTACCTAAATAGCGTGTACACACACCACAATACTAACCATACTTTACGTGATAATTACAGTAGCTTTTAATTCTGTTTCAGGACAGAGTATTCATGTATGTCATACTGTTCTCTGAAATTCACGCCAGAGGGTTAGGTTGGCTAGACAAGCTTGCCAAGGAACAAAGAGGGTCGAAAATGAACAGTAGTGACCATGATAAGAAAACTCAGGTCTCGCTTTTATAGTCAGGAGAACTAAATTTGAAAGATTCACATTCCTCCCAGTAGGCAAAGCTGTAGCAGAACCTTTAACAGGTTCTATGAAATTGTTCTGAAGAGAATGAAACAGTAATAGGAAGATGGGATGAAAATTACTATCTTAAATCTGTTGAAAGAAAAAAAACTCAAATAAACAGAAAGAGAAGAATAAAAGAATATGTAAAATAAGCCTGGTATTTTACATACACCTTCTTCAAAAGAATACTGATAAATCTGGAAAGCTTAGACTTTTTCTCTACATTGATTCATTTGTAAATACAACTTCACAGTTACATATACATAACAGACACCATCAACATACTTCCTGACTTAGTCTGCAAGTATATAACATGCATACTGGCTAGTGAATATAATACGTTCTCCTGTGATTCCAGGAGAATATAAGGGACCAACATAGGGAGCAGGAGCACACATAATGTCCAGAGGTCAGTACAAATCCAAAATGCTTGGAGTTTAGGTCAGATAACTTTCTCCTCCCAAAATTTGCAAATGACAATTTGTTGTCCGTTTGTATCCTCCTTGCTGGGGGTTACAAAGAGATGGTAAAAATGCCCATTTCCACCCTCTTTTCCTCTTTTGACATTCTCTAGATGTCAACCACTTTATTATGTATGTCATCTCTATTATTTCCTTTTCAAACAGATTCGGAACTAATCATTGGATTTCTCTATGGTTGTCTCTCCCACATTTGGTGCAAACCCTTAAAAGAAAAATAACCTAATAATAAACCTAAATAAACTAAAAAGAAAGTTGAGTTCAGATGATTATTAAAAACAGTTCTGAAAAATTTATGGCCAGATAAATTGATTATCTTGCCTAGAGACAGATAGGCTGGCAATTTTAGAACTAACAGATACTTAATCAGAAACAGAAGAATCCACTCCTCTAGAAAGGTGGTACCTCCATGCCACTGAGAATTGGACTGCTGTGAGAATGTCAGTGGAAATTCAGCTGGCATCCACCTTACGCATTTCCAAATGAAAGAAATGGAAATAAGAAGATGTAACAGAAGAATAATATAAAAGGAATGGACAAAAATTCCTCTCAGAGATTCAAAAGTACCTATTCTGAGTACCTCAGCTTCAAAAAAAGTAATTGCATTTCCTAGGACACTTTTTTTCAATAATTGAAATGGGAATAAATTTAGTTTCCAACAACACTCCACTGTGATTTCTGATATACAAGAATAAATTCTTAAGTTGCAAAAGTGGAAACAAACTCTCAGGTGCTATATGGTGTTCTATGCAGAATATGCACCAAAAGCCAGACTAACTTAGAAGAGAAACAAGTAACATATGAAGGTGGATAGGGGAGCTGTGGCTGATCTCAGTCCGTTATCCGGTCATTCTCCCTTTTCCCCATATCCCTCGCCTTGTGTAGAGCGTGCAGTCCCAGCTCAAGACAGGAAATGGAGCATCAAGGGGCTCACAGGGGCAGAGAAAGACATAAATATATTCTGGCTATACTGTAACACCGAAACTTCTCTCTTGTTCTGGAGGAGGTAGGAGAAGCCAAGATGCTCCATGACTATGAAGCAGAAACCGAAGCAGAAGGAAAGGTCTTGGGAGGCAAATTAAAAGAAGAGTTGGGGAATGGAGAAAGAAAAGGTTCCTCTATCAGTAAAGAGATTAATAAATAAAATCTCACTTCAAACTGTTTTCCAACAGATAACCACTCCAATTTAGAATATGACTATGACTTTTTAAACATTTTTATATAATTTCTTGTTCCAAAAATAATTATAATACTTCTACCAAAATTATATTATCAGGATATGATGTTAACACTAGGTCTCCTTAGTTGGTGTTGTTAGTCTTTTTCCCCCCTCCATTAAATATATGACTTAGTTTGGGCAGGTTTGCTTCCCTCAGAATTGAGAGGATGTTTTGTGCGCTGCGCTAACTACTAGAAATAATAATGCATGGTGATACAAAATATCCGTGTTCACCTTGCTGTTATATTCATGCACCTTTGGATCTGCACAAGCCATACTGAAATAGGATAAATTTCTGCAGCAGTGTGAGTGGAAGACTCATATGGCTGGTGATGACTGATGAATGGTAACAGTAATTGTAGATCAATTCTAAAGTTTGTTAGGAAAAACAGGACTAATAGATGGGAGCCTCCCACTGGCTGACAAGCATAACAATACACTTATGACTAAATAACCATATGCATTTTTTGAAGTTATGATGTTATGAAATATGTTCATTACATCATTCCATTTTAGAGAGCAGTCCTTACACATTTCCTTAGGGAAAATAAATTGAAAGTGATTCAGATTTCACTATTAATATGGCAATTAAACTCTATAGTTACTCTCTTCACTGTAGCTGCCTCTTCTGTAACGGTAACTGTCAGTAAACCCATCCCAATCCAACTATCTTGACCCATCCACACATATTCAGATCAAAATGATCACTTTACAAAGTTGTTTGTCTCATCCATATCTGATATAGAGGGTCTTCCAATATGAACACAATTCTGTTTTAGTGAAAAAAAAATTAATAAGTATGGAAATGATTTAACTGCTCAGCAAAGGACATCATAGCAAGAAGTATGGAGACCAATGGAAATTAAATGACTAGAGAAAATTCTAAGAAATTTTCTTCATGTATACCAACATAAACTACTAGCGTATGTATAATAGAACAGTTTTGAAAGTGCACAGTTCCTAATATTTTGTACACAAAAACACCGCCTGTGCCTGCTGTAGCTTGAAAAGAGTAGTCTTCTTTTATAAATGTTTTCCAGAAAATAATATCAAAGGACTGTTACAAACAAAAATATTAGTTCTTTATTAAACCCCAAGAAGAACTAAAATTATTTTAAACCACAAGGAAAATAAAGTGAAGGTAGTTTTACAGTGAAACAGTCCCTGAGTCTGTTTTACTGAAGTCTGCAAAAAACATTAATGTTAATGATACAACTAATTTGATGGTTACAAAAAGGTAGTGATTTGATCAGTGGGGATGAATAGCAACAAAGCAAATAAAGTTATTTGTTGGAAACAGTAAACTGAACCTCTATGTCAAAAGTAACAGAGCCTGTGATGAGCACATATGTCATCAAGTAACTTCTCATTCATTTCTACTTCCTTTATTTTTGCATTAAAATTATCCAAGCTAATTAAAAATTTGGAAACATTTCCTGAGTACTGTAATAGCAAACCAGCCCGGATACATCTTTTCTTGACGTTTCCAATAAATTCTCTATGCAAGAATGAAAAGTGTTATGATGGTGTAGGCAGAATGAAGATCACAAGTGAAATGAGCTCCAGCTATCTGAGGTGCAATCAAAATAAAATATTACATTGCTCTAGTTTGCAGAATAGTAAAATTAAGACAGTGTTTTAATACAGTTTAAGCTGAACATTTTATGTTTCCATTGTCTCTTGAAATATCAGCTGAATCCTACAGCCTAAAATGATAAAATCTAAAATCATGTTGTTTCCCTCTTAGTCAGCAAGAAACGCACTTCTATATAAACTAATGTCTCATACTTACAGAACTATACAACTATACAGAATATACAATACCTTAAAAAGAGAAGAAACTATTTAAGTGCTAAAAATGCAAATTTATAATTTTAATTTAATTAGCAACATTCGTTTTTTCTATTCCTAAAAAAAAAATCATACAGAAGTATAAAGTTACTGAGAGCAACCTAACTGAAACAGCTTGGTTTTTTTGACATAAGAAGCAAGAGAAACTTATTATTGAAGATATAAACCTTAGCTTTTGTTAAATTTTGGCAAATTTGATTTCTAATTTTGGCAAAAAAAATGTAATAGCTTTTCATTTGCAAAATATAGCATGGAATTTTGCATTCATTCAAATGATTCTAGGATATCCTACTTCAAATTAAGTCTGCTGCTAACTAGATGCATTTAATCCTCTCTTGATTTCACACTCAGTTCATCATTTCCACTTACTGAATTCTGTTGTCAGTGTATAAAACTAAACTTGCAACGTGATATTCTGAACATAAAATACATCTGCACTAATTTGATTGAGGTGAAAGCTAGCATGAGTTCTAAAAGAGGCAATACTTGTATTCAAACACAGAACAATTTAGAACAACTAAGAAAACACAGGAATATCTCTGCATTTAAGTATTTAAAGAAACATCACTTTTAAGATTTACCTCCGTCCAGAAGACTCATTCCTTACTTGTGCCTAGAGAAAACTACTCTTGTTCTGCCAGCACTTTGTAATAATGAAGTAATGTGAAAAATTCCATGAAATATTTTTAAAATAAGTCTAATACATAAACATTTTTGAAGAAAAAAATAGCTTAAAATGCTGTTTTTAATTAAGTGAATCTGAAAGAGGAATGATGCTCTTTTCAGAAATACCATCGTTCTATTAAAGTTATGCACAATACAGGAAAATGTTAATATACATCCTTTTTTCCTTTGTAACTAAAAAATATACATAAAACTGCTACTGGCTGACGGTTCTCTCTATGGTATTGATCTACACTACTCATTAAGTGAATTATGTCTCTTCAGAATTTTTCTTTTCCACAGACAACAATATGACACAGTCAAGGATGTCTCAAAGTTGAGAGGAAATAATACCTCTTTACACTGTATAAAAATTTGGTATTTGTCTATACTAACCACCTGTAATCCTTTTAAGGATCAAAAAAGATTAAAAAAAAGAGATTTTTATAGGACCATCTACATTATCTGATGTTATATTAAAGATTTATCATCATTCCAAATAAAACTTAAAACAATATTAGTTTTTTACTCATTACACAGGTTCCTAAAAATAAAATCCTTTAATTTCATGTCCGTTTTCACTACTGATGAATTAATATTGCTAATCATGCTTTAACTCCTTTAGTACGTTGTTCAACTCTTCTTACTCTGTATCTCACAATTGTCTTGCACATTATTTCCAGATCTCTACAACCAGATCAAAATACCCAGGAGAATCAGGTAAAAGTGTTGCAGCAAACGTAAAAACCTATTTTCTTAATTGGAATTGGCTGATTAAGTAAGCTCTCATGGGAAAGGTCTGTCTTCAGGTTTAATATTCCACAATATTACCTATCAATCGCAGCTGTAACAGGACGCATCTTCCCAAATTGTAAGACACCTCCACTATGAGCTTTTGATCATGAACAGACTTTTGAGAACTACCATAAATAAGTAAGTATAAAGTGTTAATAGGTAATACATCAATGTTCTGAACAAATGGAAATATTTTGAAATAAGCCACCAAACCAAAACTAGTATGTAGCTGAAAAACAGAACAAAGGCAGGGAAGTTATACATAACTCTGAGTTATATTATGTAATATTTACATCTAGTAACATAATTATCTCAGTAACCCTTTTTCCTTCTTTTTCATAAGGAATAAAAAATGTTAAAGGATGCTATTTTTGGACCCAACTCTACAAACGCTCCAGCTCATTTATTGTTATGTGAGCATCACCCAAGCACTCACTGACATTTGCATGCATAAATCTAACCTACAGAATGTAAATATTATCAGGCCCTCAAGGGAAAGGTCTATCTTCACTTTTAAGTTCTCACAATATACTTATTTCTCACTCACATATATGACTTATTTCACAATAAGCAATTCTTCCAGCACAATAGCGCTATGCGTTCTGTCACCAAAAGTGTTTGTCAGCGCGCAAGAACTTCTAAGAAGTTGACTAAGAAACTAGCCCCAAAGATTTCATATAGTTCTGAAGTACTTACTGTAGCTGGGGAGGCCCGCGTTGTATTAGTCACTGAATGACCAGAATTTTCCATTGAATTGCCAATCAGGTAGGTCCCTCCTGAGCTGCTAATGAGCTGTCCTCCTGTGACACCCATCTGAATCCCTCCAGTGCCCACCATACTATGAGAGGAGACCACTGTCGTCACCTGGGCAGAACTTCCTTGAGTATCAAAATAATTTCCCCCAGTGTTTTGGCTGTACATCTGGGTTTCTGTGTAAGGATAAGTTGTTGATCGGCTTCAGAAAAAGAAAACAAAAGGAAAATAAGTTATTTGTATTGTTTATTTAGGTAAGGGAAAATATTATAACTCCAGAAACAAGTGAACAATAGTTAAAAACAAATTAAACACGACTGGCAAACAATCCCTGCCTCCACAGAGAATAATATTTCATCATGTCAAAGTAGTGAATTATTAATTTACTCACTCAATGTTAAATGAAGTATCTGTTAAACCTTACAGAAAAATTTGTCAGTCTTGCCTGAAGAGAAGCAGAGAATGGAAATGTGACTAAAACTGAGGAGACAGACAGAAAGAGGTCATCCAAATATTAATACTTTGCAAAGCAATTTATAAAGTTTCAGCTGTCACAACTTTTTTTAATACTGCAGTGAAATATTGATTTTTATTCACATATATATTTTGCATAGTGTGTACTGCAAAACTGAAAATGACATACAAATGTCAGCCAATAGAGTCCAATGTACAAAAAATCTATAAATTTTATATACATATTTTAAATTCATTGAAGCTCTTTGGATGAAGCTTGAAATTCTGAGCTCATTGGTATTTTAGGACAAGCAGTTATTTTTACAAGGTGAGTATAAAACTGGACATGAACCCATGTCATGATGAGAAACTGCATTAAAGAAACAAAATCAAACAGAATTATGACTTGCAAAAAGGTCACAAAGATGAAAGTTAAAAAGTACACAATGTTAACCAATTTAATTAAATTCCTTCCAATTATGAGACATTTTTTGTGCCTCATAAAGAGTTTACCCTAACAAACTATTCACCTCATGAAATTTTAGGTCATTCTCTGCTTTGTGCTTGTAATTATTTATCTTGGACCACTGCCTTTCATGCGTTATAATCTTTAACTTACGGTTACTGAACATGCATTTACTCTTGCGGACTGACTTTGATTTTCAAATTAATATATCCCAAAATTGACAAGCAGATAGTATTCATTACTTTAAAATCCAGGTTCCTCATTTTAGAAAAGCCTATTTGAAAAATTTATCCCGTTTCATTACTGCCAAGCTTTGTACTGTGGCAAGCACAACATTAGAAAAGTTAAAAGGAAAAGGAAAAGGAAAAGGAAAAGGAAAAGGAAAAGGAAAAGGAAAAGGAAAAGGAAAAGGAAGAAAAGGAAAAGGAAAAGGAAAAGGAAAAGGAAGAAAAGGAAAAGGAAAAGGAGAAAAAGGAAAAGAAAAGGAAAAGAAAGAAAAGGAAAAGGAAAAGGAAGAAAAGGAAAAGGAAAAGAAGGAAAAGGAAAAGAAAAGGAAAAGAAAGAAAAGGAAAAGGAAAAGGAAAAGGAAGAAAAGGAAAAGGAAAAGGAAAAGGAAAAAAGAAAAAAAATACCCACTTTTCTCCAAAAACGCAAAAAGAGGAGGAAGCAGCATCCACCCTTTTACAGAGTAGGCTGGTGATTAATACACGCAGTCTCTAGACTCTCTCATCTAGAGAGAGAGCAGTTTCTTAAAAATATACAGAAAAGGTTATGACAATTTACTATTTGTTGTTGTTTTTTAATTATGAAGGCTTACACAAGGTTAATTATTAGTCAACAATGGACTTAGAGATGATTCCTTCTTTAGCTTCAGCAAAACATTATTTTTAATATAACTGAAGAATATAGGGCACCGTAACAACAACTAAGTCAGAACTTCTATGATACTAATTATGGCCATAATAGATTCTCCCTTGCTCTTCAGAGACACTTCAGAAACTCCAAAACTTCATTTTTAATAGCCTAAAAGATTTTTAATTTGTGTACCACATTTACTTTCACCCTTCTTTAAGCTGCTTAAATATATTCCTTTTCGAGTACTTCACAAGCTTCAAAATCAGCTACAAGATACTTGCAGCTAATCTGAAAGACTAATCTGCATTGCAGTCTAAGGAAAACTACGCAAAATTGCTCTTTTAGGGACAATGCTCAAGATGATGGTTCATCTAGTAACACCTCTTTTGGAGAGCGAAAATCACTTCATCCTTACTTTGCAATAACCTGTGCATGTGTTTAGGGAACTCAGTTTAAGTATTCCTGATTAATCTGTTTTATCAAGCCAGGGTATCATTGACAGGTAATAAGCCAGGTATCTGCTTCCAGAGCTGGTGCTGTATCTGGTTTAGAATGACACAATTTACAGCACCTGAACAATCCCACACAAGTAGGGGACACTTTAGGAGAATGTAGTGGTGGAAGCTCAGGGAAAACAATTCATCCAAATGTTTGTTAAGAGACTGAACACTAATTTCCCAAGAAAAGAAAGAAGAAAGAAAACAAGGTATTAGCAAGATAAGGAAATAAACACAAGGAGAATGCCATTGCTAACATTAGACATGGTTAGAGGAAATGGATCATCCAATTGATGTCAGGAAGACAAACTTCACTTGAAGAAGTGGAATGCAAGAGGTTTCTTTGAAACCAGAAGGATTTTGATGCAAATCCTAGAAAACGCCCAAAATTCACAACAAGAGTAAGTCATGGACTTGGTGTGGAATGGAGAAGGAGAAGGGAAGGCTTGTCTGTTTTTAATGGTTTATATATCTTTTATGGTCTCTAAATACACCTGTATCCGTATCTGTTTATAACAGTACTCCTTATTACTGGCTCAAGTGCAATCACTGGGGTATGTCAGTGGGTCCGACTCCAACATAAACACACACTTCCCTTTGTTCTAATTACCAGGTTTACAGTTTACTTCTGCAAGACCACCTGATTATTGGAGATGCTTAAACAAGCCTTTAGCAACACAGATTGACAGAATAATAAAAAGTGAGATATAAGTTATTATTACATGCAGTAATAATTGCAACTCAGCAAAAAGTCTTGCAATTGAGATAAAATTTAACTATTTTTGGAAGCCAAAAATGCAGGCTATGCCAACCAGATGGGATGATGTTTTGGAAAGCAGTGACGCAAAGGTTTTAAGGTCATAGTTTATGATAACACGAGCTCTCAACACAAAACTGTAGCAAAGAGAAAAATAAGATGTTATATCCTTCGGACACACAAAGGAGAAACTGGAATAAGGAAGTGATTTACTTCTCCACAGCACCTGTATCACAAACATGCAATACTATCTCAAATAATCTGGTACCATAGTCAATTATTTCCCATTGCAAAGGTTCTAACAGCACCCCAATGTCTTCTTTTGTTCAACAGTTGCATAAAACAGTTACTCAGGGGACCAACTTCATTTAGAGTAACTAGAGTCTTCGGTCTCTTTATAAGAATTTCTTGGGGATGTATTGTGACTTGTATCATGATACAAGTAAGGCAACAGAATCTAATAGTTATTCTTATGGCAATACAATGAAATTCAAGTGTTTACTGAAATGTAGCGTTAGAAAGTCTGCTAGAGTCCTATATGTTGACTGCAAAGTCCTAGTTTCCAGAAGGTTGAACAGAGAAGAGGAAATATACCCTGAGAACATGTCACACAAAGTCAGAGACACCGTCTGAATTCCATTCAGATTAAGCAAGGGCAGCAAATGTGTCCCATGTTGAGATCCCACACTAGAAATCAAGACACCAGCACGAACTGGACAAGGACTGGAATGTACTATAGTTGAAGGCACCACCTATTATGCTGAATTGCTTACATACCTTTTATAGTGATCTGCAAAATACAAAAAGAGGGAATGTTGTTAATAAATTTCTATTTTTAGCATATGAGAAAAGATAATCTCCAGAGGTCCCTTCCAACCTCAACTGTTCTGCGATTCTGTGAAAACAGAAAACAACTAATTTCTAAATTCAGTAAGCCTTAGCCTTCATAGCTCAAATTAAGTGCAATGTCTCATATGTGAATACAGATACTGACATAATGTTACTAAGCTTAATTTCTAGAGACACTTTTAACTCTTCAGAGACACTTTTTAAAAAAG